ATATTTGTTTGTTTATTTTAATAGTAATGCATTGATAAAGCACTAAAAATAACTTTGTGGTTCTTAAACTATTTAATCAACATTGTTTACTTTTAGCTACTGTTTTTTATTCAAGCTTTTCAACAGTATTGCAGATTTTAGTTTTCAGCTACAGTTCTGCTAATTTCAGCTGTAAGATACTGTTTCCCATTGTTACCTTTTTGCACTGATTCACTGGTTTTGGTCTACTGCTCTGCTCATTTTAGCTTTTAACTGCTGTTTTGTTGCATTTAGCTTTTAGCTGTTGTGGCGCTTAGCAAAATGTAGTTTATTTAAGTGTACTACAAGTATACTTTTTTTACACTAAAAATGAGGAAGTGTACTTGAAGTTTACTTTTTATAAACTTTATTTGATATACTTAAAAATAGTATAAAAATGTCCCAATTTAGTCCAAACAAGTATTAAATCAGTATACTTCTAGTACACTACAAGTATGGTTTGTAGTATACTTGATATACTTATACTTAACTTGCAAAAATAAACTTTAAATGTACTACTTTTTGTTAGCTAGTGTTTTAATGATTTAAACTTTTATTTAATGATTTGCTAGCTTTAATTATTAACTGCAAATTTACTGGACTTAGCTACTGTTTTGTTGGTATGAGTTTTTAGCAGTTTTTCAGGGTAGCCTTTAGCTGCTGTCTAATTTTTGCTGCTACTGTTTTGCTAGATTTAACTTTCAGCACTTTTGTTGGTCTTAGCTTTTAGCTACTCTTGCTGTTCTTAGCTTGTAGCTGTTCTTTTACTGTTCTTAACTTGTAGCTATTCGTTTGCTGGTCTTAGCTTGTAGCTATTCTTTTGCTGGTCTTAGCTTTTAGCTACTCTTGCTGGTCTTAGCTTGTCAGAATGAAAATATCAGAATCAGAATAAGCTTTATTATCACTGAACCGAAATACAGTGAGATTATATTCTCGGTACTGTTTTGCTGGTCTTAGCTTTTAGCTACTCTTTTGCTGGTCTTAGTTTGTAGGTACTCTTTTAATATAAATATTTTGTTTTGGGAAAATACTAAATTTGTCATTTGTTTTATTGGAATGTCAGAATTTTATTTGTCATTTTACTGCTGTAGATTGTGAGCTACCTTTGAAAGGTGACTTTAATCTGAAAGAACAGTTCTCAACGTGTCACATGCTTTAAATATAAAATAAACTAAGATATAATTTGTTTTTGCTCCGCAGGCACCAGGACTGGAGACCAAGTTTTAATGTGGACAGAAAAAAGACAACGTGTGGAGGAAAACTGTAACATACAGAATATATGATGTTTTTAAAGCTACTCAGAAGAAACCGTTAACTTACAATCATAAAAAAGATCTTTCCTTCTATTTTTTTATGTATCAGGTAAAAAATGTTAGATAAATGCATCCTCAGAAGAACAACACCTAATGTATGGCAACATTGTTGGTATTTATTTTACAAAAAGTTAAAGTTTAAGCATTCTTTGCAGATTCGATTCTTTTTGGTCAAACCTTGAGAATAAATTTATGTTTGATTTCATGTGATGTTGTGAGACGTCACACTCCATGTATGAGTTGAAAAATGACTCTCAGCTACTACCACACCACCCTTCCGCTTAATATGTGTGAAACTGACTGAGTTACAGTCATTTATTTGTTGAATATTATTTATTAGTGTTGGCAACCATTTCTGTTTGAACTGCTCCAAATGTTCATCGGCTGTAGACATCCTTTCAAAGATTACTTTATGAAAGTTTTGTTACAATCCATCCATTAGTTCCTAAAATATTTTGCTAACAGATGGGAACACACTTTTTGGCAGAAAAGCAATATAAATCTGTGCTCTTGTTTACCTGAGGTTGTGTATATCTCTTTTTAGTGCCTCACCCGGGTGTGTAAAATGTAAATTGCACTTATTTTTTAAAGTAATTGTAAATTATAAACTACAAGATACTGCCTGATTTTATTTTATTTTTTACTACACAAGAAAAACCCTGTTATTCTTTTTATACTGTAAATTGTTTTTGTTAAACTCTTTTTGGACATAATATTTTATCATGTTGTTGTAATATATTTTATGACAGTGATAATAAACTTGTCACTGAGTTTTGAAAGAACAGTTCTGTTTGTAATAAAAAGAACGTAAAACGATGAAATCTGAGAAAAATGAAAAACTCTATTGGTGTTTAAATGACCATTTATTTGAGTGAATAAACAAACACATACATCTTTAATTATAACAGAAAAATAGCACAATAAAAATTAAAGGTACAGTTTACAAATTGTTTGTTGTCACTGTTGAAGAAAAAAGAGATTCCCAAAACAACCAGGTGTAGATTTCATGAGATTTATTACAAAGTCAGCCATCACAGAAGATCCATGCATTTAAAAGTACAAATTTATTAATGCCTTCACCTGTCTGAGGTTCTGACCTGCTCTGAGCTTCCTGTGGTAAAATTGTTAGTTTATAGAATCCCCCAGGCGCCACTCTCCTCATCCTGCCCCCTTCACTCTGTCGAGCTCTTATCAAATCCTCAGCTGCACACAGAGGAAAGTTGGTTGTGGCAGACGAAACACTTGTCAAGAACTCTCTGGAAACAAGTCACTGCATCATATCAATCAAACATTGAGCATAATAAAAATGATCTATTCACTGTCTCCTGATGCATGCTCAATAATCCAGGTAGAAAAATCTAAAAAAGTTAAATCTGGTCCTCTGGACATTCAAAAAAAACCAAAACAAAGCAAAACAACAAAAAATGTAGAAACGTTTCGTCTCTCGTCCGAGAGACTTCTTCAGTCTGAGGTGCTGTTTTCAGCTCAGTCTCTTAAATAGCACCTTCTCAGGGTGGATCAACCAGTTTTGCTGCTGACAACCAAAACCAGCTGATCACATGCTCAAGAAGGACCATCAGCCTAACAATGGATCATTAGCACACTGATGGCTGTTTACTACTCACAGAGGGCTGAGTGATTCTAGCAATCACAGCATTGTAAGAGGGGGACAGTGTCATGAACCAGAGGCCGGATCGCAAACAACAACAACAACCACTGAGAGGGTTAAAAGATTTATTGTGAAATAAAGTAAAACTCTGGAGTAGGTCCGGTTCTGGGCTGGTTCCGATCTTCTGATTGGTAGTTCGAGATTGGGTAGTGTTGTAGTGGCGGGCTGCCAGTAGAAGTAGAACTGATGTTAAGGTCCACTGGAACGGAGTCCAACAGGCTTGCAACTAAAAGATAAAGGTTAGTAGATGCAGGGGGAAAAAGACTAATTGGGGAAATGAATCTGTGGGAATCAGATTCAGGGGTAAGGATAAGTCCGTGATACAGAATGAGCTTGACCTTTAATCCGTGATCCAAAAAACAGTCAGAAGGGAAAGGCAGAGTTCATACCGTGAAGTCAGTTGTTCAGCAGAAGTATCCAGTACGTGATCCAAAAAGAGAGTCAAAAAACAAGAGCATGAGTCGGTACCTGATCAGATGAGCAAAAGCAGACGAGGGCTGAGGCAAAAGCGTGGTCGTGGTCAAGGCAAGGGTCATGAACGTGATGAGTCAATCAATGGAATGCTGGAAAGTCTACTGCTGATGAGACAGGATAGAGAATCTGGCCCAGACTGAGAGGAATGAGTGAGCTTAAGTACTGACTGGACCAGGTGGTGGAGCTGTGGGATAATGAGCGGTGACAGGTGACATGAGTTGAGTGATTACTGATTGTGCAGCATGACAGAGGAGCTGACAGAGAGCAGAGCTATGACAGACAGTTGAACCCGGAGGCCTCCACCCCTGTTTAATGATGGACGGTTTCTTTTCACAAAGATGGCCTCCTTTACTCCTCTCTCAAACCATCGTTCCTCTCTGTCCAGGATGTGCACATCTTCATCCCTGAAAGAGTGACCGCTGGCCTGGAGATGAGTGTAGAGTGCAGAGTCCTGGCCTGATGATGTTGATCTTCTGTGCTGGTCCATCCTTTTGGCCAGTGGCTGTTTTGTTTCCCCGATGTAAGACTGATCACAGCCCTCCTGACACTGAACAGCATACACAAC